GAAATATGGGGTACGTTTTAAGAAACGTCTATTTTTAAAGACATAGTTGCTCTTTAAACAACACATTTTCTCTACCTTATTATTACACAAAATGCAATAGAAATGTCACAATGTTCATACCCATTTGCATCACGAAATATGTAATGTGTTTTAAGAAACGTCTATTTTAAACGACATAACTATTCTGTTAACAACTTCTTTTTTCTGTCTTGTTATCACACAAAATGCGATAGAAATGTCACAATGTTCATACCCATTTGCATCACGAAATATGTGATACGTTTTAAGAAACGTCCATTTTAAACCACATAATTACTCTGTTAACAACACATTTTCTCTACCTTATTATCACACAAAATGCGATAGAAATGTCACAATGTTCATACCCATTTGCATCACGAAATATGTGATAAGTTTTAAGAAACGTCTATTTTAAACGACATAATTACTCTGTTAACAACACATTTTTTCTATCTTATTATCACACAAAATGCGATAGAAATGTCACAATGTTTATACCCATTGGCATCACGAAATATGTGATACGTTTTAAGAAACGTCCATTTTAAACGACATAATTACTCTGTTAACAACACATTTTCTCTACCTTATTATCACACAAAATGCGATAGAAACGCCACGATGTTTATATCCATTTGCATCACGAAATATGTGATGTGTTTTAAGAAACGTCTATTTTTAACGACATAATTACTCTATTAACAATACATTTTTTCTATCTTGTTATCACACAAAATGCAATAGAAACGTTGTAATATAATAGCCATTTGCATTATAAAATATGTGATGTGTTTTAAGAAACGTCTATTTTAAACGATATAATTGTTATATCTACAACTACCCACAATGCATGGTCTAATTGCGATATCTCTGTTTTTACCATTGTCGTAATTACCTACAATCTGTATAACAATAAATGCTATAACAATTGTAAGTTAACCAAAGTGTAATAATATTAAACGTCGTGCAAATCGTGGGCTTACCTAAAGTATGTCAACATTAAACATTGTAATACTTACGAGTTTATCAAGAATGTATTAAAATTAAACATCACGATAATCACGAGGTCATCCAAAATGCGTTCATATCAAATATCATAACTATGGTAATAACTACAGTTTGTCAGCTGTCGAATCGAATGCCGAATGTCAAATGTCGAATGTCGAATATTGTTGAGAAAGTGTAGCAATAACGCCATTAAAAACGTATCAGCTACCCTTTCTTTCCAACAACCAATGTTTGTTAAAGCCACTATGCTACTTTTTAAAAAAATCGGGATCCAACTTTTTTTTTAAAACTACCACTACATCATCACCAGTATCACGAGTGCTATATTGGATATACACATAGGATATATCATGAAAAGGAGATATTAGTAACCATCGCTAATTATATAAACACGAAAACAAATGCTCTACTAGGAGGCCATCCATGTTCGGCTCCACCAACCATAGACTACAGTATAAAAATATCTGTCAACACCTATTAAAACAGTGTGTTCCTTGAGAGTACAACAAATCTCATCAGCTTTTTCCTTCCACCAGTCTCCATTTTCTACATTCACCACCACTACTTTGTAACATCATCTACTTTAGCTGAGAAAGCCTTGGACATGATCATCTCATATTGGATCCTGGATATTACAGATAGTAATTTCCTTTCCAATATGAGATGATCATGTCCAAGGCTTTCTCAGCTAAAGTAGATGATGTTACAAAGTAGTGGTGGTGAATGTAGAAAATGGAGACTGGTGGAAGGAAAAAGCTGATGAGATTTGTTGTACTCTCAAGGAACACACTGTTTTAATAGGTGTTGACAGATATTTTTATACTGTAGTCTATGGTTGGTGGAGCCGAACATGGATGGCCTCCATGGAGGATGGATGGTTCATCCTAATAACGACATGCTTGAGTATGCAACTAACTTTACGATGAAGGCTAAGTACATTGTCAAGCTATGTGGAAAGAATACATACGTTGGCCTGTTTACGCTTGATCATCTGCGTGGCGGTGGTGATGTTCCAGAGATGGATATCTTGGAACGCTCCATGCTTAGCAAGATGAAACTTCAAGAAATGTCTGATGAAGAGAGAAAGATGCTTTTCAACGAGGAGGTCGAAGTAGAAGAGGAACTACCAGTGGAAGGACCGACAGATATATCCAAGATGAAATGGAAAAGGTTTCACAAGCAGCAATTGGAGTATTCCAAGAATGTACTTGTAAATGGAAAGCACATTCTCAAGATCCGCAAGCAAAACATTGTAGTTGGCTTGGTGACTGATGACCACATTGGTGCAGAGAATGTCGACTATGATAATCTTAACCAAAAGGAAAAAGAAAAGATCTTTGCTATGGAGGCCTTTCAAGTCCAAATTATCATATGGTGTTTGTTACATCTCTGCAGATCTTGACGATATCCACCGCGTCCATTAGAGGAGAATGTATATATGATACCAAGCATATAAGACAACCATTGTAACATTTTTTGTTTAACTATCCTACTAAACACCAACCTATTCTCCAAACAACAAAGTCTTCTTATTTTTCGCACACCAAACTCTTGAATATGTCCATCTACTATTAACCTGTAACCCTCACTGCAAGATTCGACAGAGTAGTTCTTGTATGTGATCATCTAAAGCACTTGTATTCTCAACTGTATCTTTGTCGTGAAATACAGGGGAGAGATTACATTTTAAAAATTCTTGTGCTGTCTATTGCTATTTTATTCTGTGTTCTGTTGCCCACTATGAAGAGATATGCCAGTTATGGAAGTCAACACTCCGTTCCTTGGACTTTGGATATTTTTTATATGCCTTTTTATATCCTCTGCACATGAAGGGGCCGCTACCGAATAAAATATAAAAATATATTTGTATTCTCAACTATGTGCTTGCTGTATGATAGATACCATCCTACATGCTGTTGTGTATACAGTTAAGTATAAGCCTTTTTAAAAAATTGTTATTGTTGGTTAACGTCATGACAATCCAATACATAAATATTATTATGGATCTAACAAAACACTTCCAACAACTGCTTGATGACCATTGGACTTTCCTCAACGCTGGATGGCCAACAATTACACCACGTAATAATCATCGTACTGTAAGCAAGGAAATTGGGTATATGCCAGAAATAAAAGAAACCCTAAATCGACGCCTTGGTCCTATTCCAGTGTACTTCTTTCTTGTTGACATCTGGCCAAAGGTTAAGTATCCTGGTCCATACAAAGAAGTGGAGAAAGGTCTTTTAATGCTCTATCATCTTGTCAAAGGACTGTCTATGGAAGCATTGGAACCACACATGCCAAAAAGTAGTTTTCATGCAATGCACTCTGTGTTTTATAAGAAAGAATATACTTTGCACAACAAGTACATCACCAACTGTATTGCAACAATGTTCTCCACAATTAAAATACGCCTTTTGTCTGCAAAGGAAAAGAATCCTCCATTATTTAAGCATGTTACATTGCATCTTGATGGTCATGATACAAGAGCAACATACAAAGGTGAGAGTAGTGCTGATATGTACTCTTACAAGCTGAAAAAGTCAGGATTACGCACACAGGTAGCAATGGATTGTAATGGCATGGCTTTATTTGTCTCCAAATCTGCATCTTGCAAGAACAATGCTGATGGAACAATGCTGCTAACGATGAAGTTGGACAAGAGAGTGCATGAGATGGATTGCATTGCTCTCGATGGAGGGTATCCACAGTTCTTAAGGAGGCTTATAGATGAGTCTGATACTCTTAAACTCCAAAATTTCGCTCATCCATACCGTAAACAGAAGAACAAGGAACTTACACAGGAAGAAGCGTTATACAATACCACCTTTGGTAGTTTCCGCTCGCAGATGGAATCTCTGTTTGCAGACCTTGGTTCCACATTTGAGAAACACAACAACCGTACTCCTGTGTTGGTGGATAAGAAACAAACATATAATTTGCAGTTGAAGTTATCTTTGTTACTCTTAAACATGAAAAAGATGGTTGCTTTGTTGAAGATTTCTGCAGAACCAATTCATACAGCTTGGCTTCGCGAAGGATTCGAGTATCCGACAACAGAGAACGACGTTGAGCAACCAATGGGATATGTTGATGTTGGTGCGCTAGTGGAGGATGGAAATACAATGGCACAACTCCAGAACAAATTTCTTGGTATTAATCTTCATGGTGATGTTGATGTTAATGTTGATGAGGACACACCAATGGATCAAGCAGTAATAATGCAACCCGGTCTTTCCATTGCGCTTTGAGGTACGTAGTACGAAGCGACAAATGGATGTTAATGGTAATTTGTAGACTTATTGCAGGTTTTTAAAAGAATAGACATACATAGCCTATTTAGTCAGCGTTGAGATACGGTATTAACTGCCTAGACGCTAATATGCACCGGTATCTATTATTAAAAGTCATGGTATTATTGTAGTAGATCGGATGCTATTCTATGCTATTCTACAACATTCCTTTTTATTTAACAAAGAGGATAAACACATGTACAAACCTACGTCATAAAAGAATACATAAACACATGTACAAACCTACGTCATAAAAGAATACTACATTCTTAACCATTTTTAAACCCCGTCTTTAACGCCAAGCAGTCTTAATAAGCAAGATCTACGTCATACGAGGAACACTACGTTATTAACCACTTAGATGCCTTTTTAAAACTCTTTTGTTACTAAGCGCCAAGCAGTGTTAATAAGCAAGCGCTATTAATATCCAGTGTGGCAGTGTCCCATGAATTAGTATAAATAAAGGACTCCACTTCCCTCTTGCTTAATCTTTATCTTATCTAGTAACCAACCAACCATTATCCATATCTATACAACCATCCATACCTATACAACCATCTTTTATTGCAATTCTTTATATCAGTGTACTAAGCAGCTGCAATCTACCACACATAAACTGAAAGCTCATTCACACCCACCATACCACAAGTACAATCTATATCGTTCATATCCAAAAACATGCAGTACGTTCAGCTTACAATCGAGCTCATCACCAAGGCCTTCGAGACATTTTCTTCTAAGAAGGGAGTGGAGTTTACCAAGAAAGATGCAAATAAGATCTTTAAGGCGCTTGATGAGGATGAGGGAGTAGAGAGATACTACTTTTGTGGTGCAAAGTGCACCAAGTCCAAGCGCAAATGCATGAAGGAAGTTGATGATGAAGGCATGCATTGTTATGTCCACGATCCTGCGCGCAAGTGTCAAGGCACAACCATTAAGGGCGCTAATTGTGGTAGTGTAGCCAAACTTGGTGAAACTTACTGTGGACGTCATCGAGAGCAGCATAAAGGTCATATGAAAAGCAGTAACAATAAGGCACCTGCCAACAAGCGTACCAAGTCTTCCAAGATAACCAAGAAGACACATACTCCTGAGTTTGTCCCTTCAGATGATGATATGACTTCCGAGGATGAAGAACCAAAGAAGCGAAAGAGAAACAAGCAGGAGTCATCGGATGAGGAGCCGTCCGATGATGATGAAGAAGATATAATTGCCGTCTCCTTTCCGTTGAGTCCAAAGGTAGTTGACATAACGTCCAAGAAAAATGTACCACTCGCTAATACAGGCATATGGATGCGTTATGCAACTAATCCAGCTTTCCTGTATGCAAAAAACTATACTGTAAATGGCAAGTACATTATTAAGCTGAAGGAAAAGGACCTCTACATTGTATTGTGTCCACCTGAGCTCATGGGGAAAAATCTTCCTGTACCGAAATTATCTGACAAAGAGGTACGTATATTACAAAAGATGGGACTCCAAGAGGCAACTCCTGCTGATGTAGAAAAAATAGAAGAGTCTTCTGCTGATGAGAATTCTGACGATGATACAGATGATGGTGATACGTCTGATGATGCTGGCTCTGACGATGATTCCCCTGATGATAAAGACTCTGATGATGGCAAGTCCAATAACAGACCTGATGTAGAATCTGGAGATGATACCTCTAAGGATAACCCTGATGAAAAACTATCTCATAAAAAGTCATCTAAGGATGATGAGAAGAAGACTTCTCGAAAGAAAAGGCATTCAGAGATGCCCAAAAATGCAGAGCCATCTTCTAATGTAGACGTTTCTAAGGATGGAAAAGATGAACATACATTTGCACTGGCCACAACGGTGCATAACATTAGATCAGAGAAAGACATAGCACGTGCGAAGGACAGAGGATGGATGATTCATCCTAATAACGACATGCTTGAGTATGCAACTAAGTTTACGATGAATGGCAAGTACATTGTCAGGCTATCTGGAAAGAATACATACGTTGGCCTGTTTACGCTTGATGCTCTGCGCGGTGTCGGTGATGTTCCAGAGTTGGATATCTTGGAACGCTCCATGCTTAGCAAGATGAAACTTCAACCATTGTCTGATGAAGAGAGAAAGACGCTTTTCAACGAGGAGATCGAAGTAGAAGAAGAAGTACCAGTAGAAGGACCAACAGATAAATCCAAGGTGATATGGAAAAAACTTAACAAGTACTTGGAATATTCCGAGAATGTACTTGTAAATGGAATGCACATTCTCAAGATGCGCAAAAAAGACACTGTAATCGGCTTGATGACTGATGACCATATTGCTGCAGAGAATGTAGAGTGTCATTCTCTTAGCCAGAAGGAAAAAGAGAAGTTGTTTGCTATGGGATTTAAACCGCATGAGCATAAGCAAAGCTTGCCACAGAAAGATGAGAGCACATGTGAGGATGATAAAGATGCTGAGGGCGATAAAGATGCTGAGGATGACAAAGATGCGGTGGGTGATAAAGATGCTGAAGATGACAAAGATGTTGAGGGTGATAACGATGCTGAGGATGACAAAGATGCTGAGGGTGATAACGATGCTGAAGATGATAAAGATGCTGAGGATGATAAAGATGCTGAGGATGTTATGTGGAAAAGGTACCCTAAAGATAAAAGCTCTTCGGGTATAATCGTCATAGATAAAGACGAAATTAAATGGACAACATGTTCGTTTGACAAGAAGCATGAATATGCAACCAACTACCTTTTCGACGGATGTCATCTGCTCAAGAGGTACGAAGAGGACATTATTGTTGGACTGCTGTATAAGATACCTGCAAACGGTGACAGTAACTATAGTCGAGACAAATTTACCAACAACAAACAAAAGCAGAAGTTAATTGCCATGGGGTTCACGATCGAGGAATTGCCTAAATTGTACTCTCCAGATGTAAAGTTTTGGTAGTTGTTGAGACAGATGAAGAGTAGATATTTTAAAAACTATCCAATTGTCAACAGTTGGCATTTGTGGTTGTATATATAGCATGAACTTTTTAAAAATGTAACATGTCTTCGACACTTCCACCTAGGAGGCCTTTCAAGTCCAAATTATCATATGGTGTTTGTTACATCTCTGCAGATCTTGACGATATCCACCGCGTCCATTAGAGGAGAATGTATATATGATACCAAGCATATAAGACAACCATTGTAACATTTTTTGTTTAACTATCCTACTAAACACCAACCTATTCTCCAAACAACAAAGTCTTCTTATTTTTCGCACACCAAACTCTTGAATATGTCCATCTACTATTAACCTGTAACCCTCACTGCAAGATTCGACAGAGTAGTTCTTGTATGTGATCATCTAAAGCACTTGTATTCTCAACTGTATCTTTGTCGTGAAATACAGGGGAGAGATTACATTTTAAAAATTCTTGTGCTGTCTATTGCTATTTTATTCTGTGTTCTGTTGCCCACTATGAAGAGATATGCCAGTTATGGAAGTCAACACTCCGTTCCTTGGACTTTGGATATTTTTTATATGCCTTTTTATATCCTCTGCACATGAAGGGGCCGCTATGGGCTTTAAGCCACAATGGTCTAAGGATAGGTCGACAGAGAAAGGTGAACCGGTAGAAAAAATAGATGATGAGGTGCAAGAGTCGAATATTAAGGAAACTTTAGATGAACTTGTAGAAAAAGTAGATGATGAGGTGCAAGAGTCGGATGTTAAGAAAACTCTAGAAGATGGTGGACCTATGGAAAGCGAAAATGTGAATGCCTCAAGTGTTTACACTACAAAAGACCATCATGATTTTCTGAAGGCAATGGGAGAAGTATATAGCAAAATAACAGCTATCGAAGAAGAACTCCGCGAGGAATACGTTTCGGCAGATGGTAATGCAGAAGAAAAAGAACTAATTTTTCACCTAGGTTTGTTGGAGAAAGATTATTCCAACTACGAAACATGGCACATGGATAAGTTTGGTTCCCGCGAACCACATTCCGATATATTATGTAAGTTCGCAAAAGAAGGATCTCACAACAGAAAAACCATAGTGCAAAGTGTATTAGATAGTATTCAAGCCAAAGAGAAAAGTACGATGGAAGAAAAGAAGCCTCTTGAAGTAACATTTGAGACCGCAGAAGAGTAGATCAAGAATTTTAAAAACTGTAGATATACCACTTGCACAAATAAAGCTTTTATATATGGAATACACATGTAATATTATCCTCGTCCCTTCCAATGAGATTCACCAGATATATTACCCATCTTTTTAAAAACTTCCACCATCCTTTGCACAATTTACAATATTTCTTTCTTGATCACAGTGGTGTTTATCCACAATCTACTTATATTTAACATTACGAAAATTACAATAACTATATCTAATATGTTCTACAATGCATGCACTCTTTATGACATTTATTTTTTCACCATTGGCATATTTACCAACGATCTGTATAGGAGGCCGCATATCAACAAATATTATAACAATCGTAACTTCCTACAAAGTATGTTACATCAAACATTATAAAAACCACGATAACTTCATCTGAGACGTTCCACAATGCATGCACCCTCACCATTATTGCATTACCCATATTTTTTTAAAACATTCACCTAGGAGGCCTTTCAGGTCCAAGTTATCATATGGTGTTTGTTACATCTCTGTAGATCTCGACAATATCCATAGCGACTATGGGATGAGAATGTATATATGATACCAAGCATATAAGACAACCATTGTAACATTTTTTGTTCAACTATCCTACTAAACACCAACCTATTCTCCTGTCGCATATTTGCCTGTCTCGGGGGTGTCAGCTAATGTAATTAGGCTAGAGACAGTAATTTAGTCATATGACCAGACACCGACATAAATGGAGGTGTCTGGGCTGTTAACAAAGATCCCTCTCTTGTCTTATCAATTCGATTGTGCGTGACTAGCGTAAAAATTTTCATTTTTTTTGATAAATACAACACGGATCGGGATCAGAATCCGTCGAACGATTGACAGGATCCATCCACTCATTTATTTATTCATTCAACCCATTACGAGGAACACTCCATCAATCTACAGGAGCGATTCAGGACGTAACGGGAGCATTTACGGATCATTACAGAACAGGACCTTTACTGTCAGGATTTTTCTCTATTTTCAGGATAATCCAACAAGGACAGGATCCTTTTCTTTTATTTGTGGTCATTTCGTGCGTGCATCTGGTCACTAGTGACAAGGTTACAGCAGAGACTGATCATTAATACGAAGTGTAACAGGCGGTTACTTTCGTTGTTATTATTTGGTTACTATTCTACCTTTTTGTGTTGGAGCTTTCAAGTGCGATCATACATCTGTGTGGTCATTTGAGGTCTTCATATAACACGGTAGCAGAGATTCATTAGAAAACTCACCGTTAGTTTTGATCAAGGACATTCTTGTTCAAATAAACGCGGGATTCGTCTTTGTTGGCATTTAGGTGTGCCCTCATCCGAATTCATTTGCATCAGAAAACTTTTAGTTTTTTTCTGGGTGTTGTTTTTTATTTTTATTTTGAATCAAGTGGATCACTGAGCAAAAAAGTACTGGAAGTTGACGTTAGTAGTAACAGTATTATTTTTTCTGGGGTGCAGTCTGGTTGATCATCAGTTTTCAAAAGCTCATTTCGTTTTCTGTTTATTCTGCTTGTCTGTTTGTTTTCTTTTCCTTTAATTGGGTCATAGAGAATGGCAGCGAATACGGCAAAGAAGAACGAGGACGTTGGCAATAAGGTTGTTGGTGCGTTAGATGCACTTACCTTGACGTCGGGACGAGATGAGGGAGCAGGCATGGACGTTGATGTTGACATGCAGGAGACTGTTGGCTCTGACTTTATGGATGCCCATGCAGCCAGAGGAAAGATGAAGGAGTATTCGATGCAACTGGCGACGTTGACGAGACAGAAGATGCAGTTAGCCGCGCGCATCCAAGGGTTGAGCCAAGAGGAGGGCGACCAGGAGCGACCAAAGTTGGCGGAACTAACACGTCAGATCGCTGAGGCCAAGACCGCGATGAACGAGTGGAATGTCATGCTGGATGACCTAGAGAGTGCTGAGAGGTCCATGGGGAGGACGGCATTCTCTAGTGTTGTGACCAGAGAGGAGAATGAGGAGTTGGGGGTTAAGAAGGGTGGAAAGATTGACGAGATCAAGTTGTCGAATGAGTTTCCGCGTTACCATCGGTCGGTCGAGGCTCATCTGCTTCCTGTTCTTGACATCAAGATCCACGGTCCCTTGATTACCAACGTCCGAGAGTTCCTGTACGAATTCCATAGAATAGGAGTAACAAAGTTCACGACGGGCGGGTTCGATGAGAGATGTTCAAGGTTGTTGTGCTTGGCGAATATGGATCGCAAAGCGTCTGATGCCATGAATGCAGTCTTGAGTCGTGACCCTGAAGGAAAGTGGCCGTGGGCGAGATGCGAGAAAGTGTTTGTGGAGAGTGCTATGACGCAGACTGAGAGAACAGATGAGGTTGAGAAGGTGATCAAGATGGGATTAGAACGAGGTGAATCGTACAAGCAGTACTACCATCGGATGAAGAGGTTGATGGATGTGTACCAAGTCAAGGACTTACCCAAGTTCGCTGATTTGTTATTCTTGCTGCAGAGAGCGGTCGACCCGAGCGTTCTTACGATGATCTTGTTGCAGAAGCGCATTGCAGTCCTTGAGGGGATGCTGGGTGTGGCACCTGATGAAACAACCTTCGAGTCTTATATGGACAGTTTGCAGCATATGCAGGGACCCGCAGACAGTGATGAGTGGGCACCGGTTATTTTGGAGAGGAGACGATTGACCGGGGCTGCAGATAACGAAGCAGCGAGGCAGGCCCAGAGTTTAAAGGATAAGCTCATCAACCAGCAGAAGAGGGCAGCGGCAGCAGCAACGCTTGCGACGACAAGTGGAACGCGTGTCGGGGGGACTACTGGTGGTAGCATCAACCAAGTTCCTACAGCGGGTGACAGTTCGGTCCAGAAGGGGAATGCTGGATTCGGCGGTCAACGTGGCGCCTTCGGTAATGGTAGTGGTTCTGGTGCGCCTAGAGGTCGAGGAGGCAGTCATGGTCGTGGAGGTTACAAGAGGAACTTCAACCGTGGACACCATCCTTATCCTGGCAGAGGAAACAGCAATGGTAAGCTAAACCACACTGTTGAGTATGATGATGCATCTGAAGAAAAAGTTGAAGTAGATGGTGGTGAGATGTCTGTTGTCGACCAAGATGTCGTTGAGATGAGTAACGAAAATGGTGACGTCACCGAAGTCGAACATGACCGCATGACTAACGACGCGTCTTTCATTCTGCATTCCAAACAGGTGGAAACAAGCAGTGAGATGCAACAAACTGATGTACATGAACTGGAGGAGCAGTCGCACAGTTTAACAGAAGTAGTCATAGTGAATGAAACAACAACTGACGAGAAGAATGTCAGTGACATCAACCCACGGAGTGAAACAGTGAAGAAGAGAAAGAAGAAAAAGAAGAATGCAAAGGGTATTGCGAAAATCGAATTGAAGAGCAAACTGCGTGGTGAATCCGGTTTGGGTATGAGAGTTCATGTAGGTCCATTGCCGATGCATCCTCTCGACGGGGGGGAAGGTAGCGGTGATGCTAAAGTGGCTGTCGACCAAGCAAAGGTGAAGTATGGAGCTATGGGCATTGTTAAAGAAGGAAGAGATAATGCACCGGCCGAGTACAACATCGAGGATGTAGTAGACGACGAGTACCTAAGGGCCTTCGAAAGATTTTCAATTAGTGATAACCCAGTGTCAGACGCATGTGATGGTTACCCATTATTCTCCTTTGGAGAGAAGGACTTTGAGTTAGTACACAAGCACTATGGTTCAAGTAAACGAAAACATCAGCCGGATAATCGACTGTTTGTTCCTGTTTATCTTAATCAAGAGCGACATCTTGCACT